GTCGATATTTCGGCTGCTCAAGGCGAGGAGCTTAGGACACATATGACCGCATTAGCTGCGTGCTGAGAGTGATTAACCCGGGTTTCACCGGGGTTCTTTTTCTTAAGCGCTTGTTGATCAGCTTGTTCTCTTTTTTTTTTCCTTTTTCTTTTTTCTTTCCCTCAAGCTGTTTTTCCACCTCTCAAGAGAACGCGTCTTCACGGAGGACCGAGCCCGTTTCTACGGCGCGGAAATAGTCTCTGCGCTGGAGTACCTGCACTCCCGGGACGTGGTGTACAGGGACATTAAGGTACCCGCCCCGGCAGCGGTGGCATCCGTAAGCGGTGCCTTCGCCCCCTCTTAGCGCCGGTCCTGGTCTAGTGTTTGGGGGCGTGGAGTCGCTCCCAGCTCCCCGAAAAAATCGCCCTGAGGGGCCGCGAAGGGTTTCAGCCGGCAGAGCGTCGCGCTCGGTTGACGCGAGCTGCCTCTCTCCGCTCCCGCTCACCGTGGGTGGCAAAGAGCCGCTGCCCGCCTGGGGCCGGGGATGTTTTTGCCCGCGTTGTCGCAGGAGGGAGGGAGGGCGGGAGCTCGGCTTCAGCAGAGAGAGCTTGATCCTGCCCTGCGGGGAGGTGTCACCCTTGTCCCCATCACGCGGCGATGGATCGAGACCCCCAACCATCTGACGGAGCCTTTTGGGGAGCAGCGTCTCCCGCTCCCGCGTTCCTGACTTCGCTCGGCTCCGAACCTTTCCTTCCACCTGCCTGCTTTTGGTGTTGGTTTTTCTTTTTCAGCTGGAAAACCTCATGCTGGACAAAGACGGCCACATCAAAATCACCGACTTCGGGCTCTGCAAGGAAGGCATCACGGATGGAGCCACCATGAAGACCTTCTGCGGCACTCCCGAGTACCTGGCTCCGGAGGTACTTAAAGCATTCCCGCAAGCCAGGCTTTCCTCGGAACTCTTGTGCCGAAGAGGTTTTTCTGGGGGGGTTATTCCCAAAGTCCAAGATGGCGACGGCTTCAGCGCGGGCTTTTCCAAACGCTTGGGTTGCAGGAGTGGTTGTATCTAGAACGGGTTTCCCTTCTCCCTCCTCGCGTTGCTGCCTGGTTCTTCGGCCTCGTCGGCACCGTGCTCTCCGTCTTCCCCCACGCAGGTCCTGGAGGACAATGATTACGGCCGCGCCGTGGACTGGTGGGGCCTGGGGGTCGTCATGTACGAGATGATGTGTGGCCGCCTCCCCTTCTACAACCAGGACCACGAACGCCTCTTCGAGCTGATCCTCATGGAGGAGATCCGCTTCCCTCGTACCCTCAGCCCTGAGGCCAAATCCTTGCTGGCCGGGCTGCTCAAGAAGGATCCCAAACAGAGGTGAGGGTCCACCGGGGACGGACAAGGGGGACCGCGGCGCCGCCGGGCGGTTCCGGACGCGTGCCTCTGTGCCCGCAGGCTCGGCGGTGGTCCCAACGACGCCAAGGAGGTGATGGAGCATCGCTTCTTCGCCCCCGTCAACTGGCAGGACGTGGTTCAGAAGAAGGTGGGGAGGGAAGGGAGCGCTTTTTGGGGGGTT